CTAAAAACACTAAAATTAGCCGGGCATAGTGGCGCACACCTGTAATCCCAGCTACTCAGGAGGCTGAGGCAGGACAATCGCTTGAACCCGGGAGGCAGAGGTTGCAGTGAGCCGAGATTGCACCACTGCACTCCAGCCTGGGCGACAGAGCAAGACTCTGTCTCATAAATAAATAAATAAAACAATGAAACTTGCTGCCTTGATGACTCTTCCTTTCATGGAAGATTTCTCTGTAGCATATGTTGCTGTTTGATAGCATTTTACCCACAAAACTCCTTTCAAAATTGGAGTCAATCCTCTCATACCCTGTCTCTGCTTTCTCAGTTAAGTTTATGTAATATTCTAAATTTTTTGTTGTCATTTCAACAATGTTCACAGCATCCTTGCCAGGAGTGGACTCTATTGCAAGAAACCACTTTTTTTTTTGCTCATCTGTTAGAAGCAATTTCTCATCCATTAAAGTTTTTACTGGGAGATTGTATCAATTCAGTCACATCTTCAGGGTCTACTTTTAATTCTAGTTCTCTTGCTATTTACATCACATTTATGGTTACTTCCTTCACTGAACTCTTAAATGCTGCAAAGTCATCCATGAGAGTTGGAATCAATTTCTTCTAAATTCTTTTCTTCTGTGGCGTTCCCCACCTCTCTCAGCTTTCATAGAATTGAATTTGAGTTAGAGCCTTGCTCTCTGGATAAGGCTTTGACTTAAGGGAATGTTGTAGCGGCTTTTGATCATTTATCCAGACCACTCAAACTTTCTCCGTATCAGCAATAAGGCTGTTTTGCTTTCTTATTTGTGTGTTCACTGGAGTGGCACTTTTAATTTCCTTCAAGAACTTTTCCTTTGCATTTACAACTTGGCTGTTTGGTGCAAGAGGCTCAGCTTTTGGCCTCTTGGGACATGTCTTCCTCACTAAGCATGATCATTTCTAGCTTTTGATTTAAAGTGAGAGACCCATGACTCCTCCTTTCACTTAACACTTAGAGGCCATTATAGAGTTCTTCATTGGCCTAATTTCAGTATTAAATAGGGCAGCCCAAGGAGAGGGAGAGAGTTGAGGCAGTGGCCAGTCAGCGGAACAGTCAGAACATGCACATTTATCGATTAAGTTTGCCATCATATACAGATGTGGTTCATGGTGCCCCAAAACAATTACAATAGTAACATTAAAGATCACTGATCACAGATATAGTAATGAAAAAGTTTGGAATACTGCAAGAAGTACCAAAATGGGACACAGAGACATGAAGTGAGCACATGATGTTGGAAAATGGCACTGAAAGACTTGCTCAACACAGGCTTGCCACAAACCTTCAATTTGTAAAAAACAAAACAAAACACATCTTCAAAGTGCAGTAAAGCAAGGTGCAATAAAATAAGGTATGCCTATACTGTATAAAGTACAAACAGCTGCCTTTATTTTGAGGTAGGGATAATCAGCTGAAGGACTTTTTACCTGGGGTCTTTCTCAGTTCCAAATAACCTTTTCTCACACAGTCTTAACAGTCCACTGAGATAGACATAGATCCTTGAAGCCATGGGTCTTCTAAGAGCTATAACTGGAACAGTATCACTTCTGACCTCACTCTGGCCTAAGGAAGGTACATCCTTCGGCTCCTGCCAACTTGGCAAAAAGCTTTATTCCCAGATGTTTTGCTAATTGAGGTCTTAGTGTTTTCTGATAATCTGTAGTTTTCTGTAAAGCTTCTTTATAGGACTTAGCACACTTGTAGTAATTTAAGTAACTATTTATTAGTCTGTTATTCTCTCTTAAGCTATAAACTTTACTGAAGCAGAAAGTCTATTTTGTTCATCACTATCTTCCCAGTCCTAGCATATAGGTACTCAAATATTTGTTGGCATACTAACCGCATTATCTCACATATCTAGGATGTGGCTTCTATAAAATTTAGAGAGCCAAGTGGCAGCTTGTGCATCCTCATAATGTGTTGGGTGGGTCCCAAGAGTGAGCACCTCAAGAGAGCAAGGCAGAAGTGCATGGCATTTTTATGACTTAGTTTTGGAAATCATGTATAGTGTTTGTTACTTCTGTCATACCTTATTGGTCAAAGTAGTCACAAAGTACTTTCCAAGTTCAAGGTCAGAGAATAAGGACTTCATCACTTGATGGGAAGAGTGTCACAGTTACATAAGAAGAATATGTGAAATGGGAGATTTCGTATTGGCTGTCTTTGAAAAAGAATGTTACAGTTAATTTTCACCATATTTGGAAAACTTTTTGGCCCTTCTTTCTTCAAACATATTTTCTGTCCCCCTCCACATTGTTTTTTTTTTTGAGACTAATTATATGTATGCTTTATATCTCACTGATTAAGACTTTGCTTCTTCCTTTTCAGTTATTTTTTTCTCTCTGCTTCATTTTGTGTAGTTTGTATTACTATTGTCTTCAGGTTTACTGTTATTTTCTTCTGTAGTCTCCAGTCTGTTGTTAAGCTCATCTGTTGAATTTTTTTATATCTTCTATTTTCTCGCCTTATTATGTTCATATTTTCCTTCAAATCCTTGTGCATATTTATTCTATTTTAAGTTAACTATTACTTGTCAGCTAATTCTCTTTATCTATCACATTTCTAGGTCTGTTTCTATTAACAGATCACTCCTATCCCAATTACAGTATTTTTCTGCTTCACATATCTAGTAGTTTTTTATTGCATGCTAGACATTACAAGTGCTACATTAAGTATCTGGATATTGTTGTCTTTAAAGAATATTGGCCAGGCGTGGTGGCTTACGCCTGTAATCCCAACACTTTGGGAGGCCAGGTGGGCATATCACGTGCGGTCCGGAGTTTGAGCCTGGCCAACATGGTGAAACCCTGTCTCTACTAAAAATACAAAAATTAGCCAGGTGTGGTGGCAGGCACCTGTTGTAATCCCAGCTACTCGGGAGGCTGAGGCAGGAGAATGGCGTAAACCCGGGAGGCAGAGCTTGCAGTGAGCTGAGATCTGGCCACTGCACTCCAGCCCGGGTGACAGAGCAAGACTCCGTCTCAAAAAAAAAAAAAAAAAATTGAAAATTGTTTTGGCAGGTAGTTACTTGCTAGTCAGCTTGATACTTTCAAAGCTTGCTTTTAAGCTTTGTTAAGGTAAGTGTTTGGAATAGTTTTTGCTCTAGGGCTAGTTTAGTTCTACTACTAAAGGATGATTCTCCTTAGAGCTCTAATGAATGTCCCTGGTATTCAAGGTCATCCTATCCGGATAGGGGGAACACAGATGTTCCCCCAGCCTGTGTGAACTCTGGGAATTGCTCGGCTTGCAATTCCAGTTTGCAGTTTCATTGCCTGGCTTTGTGGGGTTTCACCTAACACATGTGTAGGTTAGTATTCAGTAATGGAACTAAAGGGATCCCCATGCAGAGGTCTCCATTCTGGAGGTCTTTCTCTGCGCTGCAAATCTCAGCCACCTCAGTTTCCACAAATTCCAATCTCAGTCTACTCAATTCATCAAAAAAGGATATACTGTGGTCTGCAAAGCACTTCCAGGCAGAAAGCTGGAATGATCATCGGGCTCACCTTATTTGTTTCCCTTTTCTCAAGGATCATAATTCTTTACTGCCTATTGTCTGCTGTTTATATCAATTTTTTCATGTATCTTTGATCCAGTTTTCTGGTTGTATGTGATGGAAGAGAAGATTCTGTACCAGTAATACATGTTGAAGTATGAGTTTTACCTCCAGGATTTCTTTCTTCTTTTAACCACTTAAAGTACAACTTAGTTTCCAAATGTAAAAATGAAGTCAACTTTGAGTTAGAATAAATAACTTGGCTTCAAATTTCAGGCCTACCTCTAACTTGCTGCATGAATATTGGCAAATCTTGTTTTTTGGCAGACACAGCAAAATTGAATTGAATATAATCCTATTCGTCCTATTTCTCAGGCATTCTGTAACAAGCAAATAGAAATAAAAACAAATCACATTAAATAAGGATGAAGTTATATTTATAGTTAGTTGACAACTCACTTCTCAAACCTCTCTTGCCTATCTTCCAGTTCCATTCTCTAAAGAATAAAAGTGCCTGAGTTAAAAGTGTAGTGAGACTGGTGCTGTTTCACAGCTTCTCCTCTTAATATTAGCCAACTGCTACTGAATGTTTTCTATGTGCCAGGAACTGTGTAAGCCTTTTATGTGAATAAATTTACTAAATTTTCTTTCTTTTTTTTTTTTTTTGAGATGGAATCTCACTCTGTCACCCAGGCTGGAGTGCAGTGGCGCAATCTCGGCTCACTGCAACCTCTGCCTCCTGAGTTCAAGCGATCCTTCTGCCTCAGCCTCCCAAGGAGCTGGGACCACAGGTGTTTGCCACCACGCCTGGCTAATTTTTGTATTTTTAGTAGAGACATGGTGTCATCATATTGGTCAGGCTGGTCTTAAACTCCTGACCTTGTGATCCGCCTGCCTCAGCCTCCCAAAGTGTTGGGATTACAGGCATGAGCCACCGCACCCGGCCTTACTAAATTTTCATAACTGCCATAGGGATAGGTACTATTATTGTCCCCACTTGACACCTGAGAATGAGATTAAGCAACTTGGAGAAGGTCACATAGCAAAGTGGCAGTGGCAGAACTAGGAATGATTCTTGAGCCATGCTCTTCACCACCACTATGTGACTACTTAAAAACTACTGAAAATGCATCAACTGCTGCTGATATAGAATCATTAATTATCCTTAAATATAAAAGAGCATAATCTCTGCCATCCTGTTAACAAATCCTGTTTGTTTAGTCAGCATGACTGATTTCCATGGGGAAGCAGAAAGATTGGGCTATCATTGGAATATGTGATTCCTGAGAAAAACACCGTTAGGATGGCTGGAAATGGAAGATGATGTCCAGCACGAACTACCTTGAGAACAGGCTGTAAGTGGAGTACAGAGGGTCTAGTGTGGTTCTCAGAGGGTCACTGGTGTGTACTGAATCTCTGCTGTCTGTCTTTTAATATTAATAGGCTCATTATTCTTTTTTCTCTCCTTTCTCAGACACATTTAATCAAACCAGGCACCAAAATGCTAACACTCCTTCCTGGAGAAAGAAAGGCTAGTATTTATTTTACTCAAAGAAGAGCTCCATCTACAGGCATTCACCAGAGAAGCATTGCTTCCTTCTTCACCTTGCAGCCAGGTATGGTGGCCCATGTGGGAATACTTCATTATCCAGAGCAAAAAAGGAGTGTGTTCATTTGTCCATGTTAGAACATTTATGAGAAATGGTGAAACCAGTGCATTATGTTAAACTTAGCCTATTAGAAGAGGTTATAAAACATAAAAAATCGTTGCCTTTTGAAAAGCAATATATGTGTGCTTTTACAGACATACTTTTCTGGTTCTGTTTTGCTCAACTTAAATATTTGTATTCGCTGACAGAGCAGTCAGGAAAGGTGCACTTGGGAGTTGGAGGTGCACTGGGGAGTTGCCCTGCCATTAGTTAGGAGGTATATATCTTGGGTTGGCCACAATGGGTACTCTGTCTAAGGTTAATTGATAATTGATATTTTTGTGTGAAGTTTCTCAAATTAGTGCAAGGTTCAAAGATGCTTGTTCTTAGAAAGCCTCACATAAAGTTGGTTTATGTCTCATCCTTTGGCAGTTCTTTGCTTCCAGGTCCCTGTTCAGGGGAGCAGCTGACTCAGCAGGCTGGGCCTTAAGCAGCAGGGTTCCTGCCACTTGGAGGGTGTTGGGAAGAGTGCTCTAATGCTGGGAGTGATTCTCAGGATTGCTTTGCCTAAACCTTCAAAATGCCCTCTCCCTCCTCCAAACAAAAACTTATACTCTTTTGTTTTATGTAAGGGCAGATTTAAATTTAAAAAAAAAAAAAAATTAACAAAAAAACTTCTTCCACTTATAAATTCTGGTGTATTTTATAATCTATATTGAATTCTAAGGAAAAGTTGAGAATTCTCACAAAACCTAGTTTCTGCAGTATAATTCTTATTGGAGTTATTCTGCTTTGTTTTTATAATTAGATCTTGGTGTAATTTGAGCCAAGCTGGGAATTCCATGTCCTCCATCCTTAAGGCAGAAGAGAATCCACTCTATGCCTGATAAAATTAACAGGCTGAACACTAGTAGTTGTTTCACTATTCTACGTACTGACTGACTTAGCATCCTAATTGTGTCTTCACTCCCTTTCCAATGAAATGCCTGGGGAGTGGAGGACCCACGTTTTTCACACTGTCACCAGAAGGTTTATCAGAGTTGGATGGTTAATGTCATCTTTAAGACCTTACAAAACTTATATGTGTTTAGCATGTTTCTTTAAGGATAATGTCCAGGAATGTATATTTGGCCAGAGGATCATCATTTAGTAAAAACCACATTAAATAAAAAACAAAAGGAAAACTGATGTGCCCTATGTTAAACAAACCTACAAATGAAAACTCAGCTGGTAAAGTAGGCTGTGGTCTGATTGTATGTGATGTTTGACTTTATTAGATAGGTGATGGGAAGTATCCATGTATTTGAGTAGGGAATATAAGATCTGATGTTTTAGAGTTCATTCATGAGAGACTGGCAAGATTGAAAACAGGAAGATTGGCTACAAAATTATATGAAGAGGCTAAGACTCCTGCACTAGGTAGTAATAGTAGCTGATACTGATTTCAGAAAAAGCCAACTGAATCCTGCTTAGGGCAGTTTTTCTGCAGAATAATATTTGTTCATTCTTGTTTTATTAGGAAAGACAAATGGTAGTGACCAGAAGAGTGTTTCATCTCATACAGAAAGTCAGCTCAACAAAGAGTCCAAGAAAAATGTGACCCAGCTAGACCATTTGATCCCAGGCTTAGCACATGATTGCATGGTATCCCCTTTAGCCACTTCAACCACTGCAGACATCCAGGAAGCTGGACTCTCTCCTCAGTCCCTCCAGACTTCTGGCCACCACACTTCTGAGCTATCTTTGCTCCAGCCTGATACTCTAGACTGTGCTGGAGAGAGTAATACCCCATTGGCTTTTTCCTTCACCGAGGACTTGGAAAGTTCTTGTTTGCTAGACCAAAAGGAAGAAAAAGGGGATTCTGCCAGGAAATGGGAATGGCTTCATGGGTCTAAGAAGAACTGTCAGAGTATGAAGAAACACACCAAACTACCTGGGGACAAATGCTGTCAGCCTTTAGGCAAGACTAAATTGGAAAGAAAGGTGTCTGCCAAAGAAAACAGGCAGGCCCCTGTCCTCCTTCAAACATACAGGGAATCCTGGAATGGAGAAAACGTAGAATCAGTGAAACAAAGCTCTTGTCCGGTTTCTGTGTTTTCCTGGGACAATGAAAACAATGACAAGGACTCCTGGAGTCAGCTTTTCACTGAAGATTCTCAAGGTCAGCGGGTCATTGCCCACAACACTAGAGCTCCTTTTCAAGATGTAACGAATAACTGGAATTGGGACTTAGGGCCGTTTCCTGACAGTTCTTGGGCTCAGTGCCAGGAGGATGGGCCAACTCAAAATCTGAAGCCTGATTTGCTCTTTACCCAGGACTCTGAAGGTAATCAAGTTATCAGGCACCAATTCTAAATGTTTTGAAGCTTTGTTCCTAAAAGTACCTTGAAATGACAGAGATGTAGGAAAATATAGTTGTGGATGGAGAGACGGGTGAGTTTGTTTAGGTGGGAAGGTAGCATGGGATGAAGTTATCATTACTGAGCATCTTCCCTATGTAAATAAAGGGCAGTACCATTGTTAAGACACTGGGTTTGCCATCATGGCTTTCCCTCAGGAAGATGGTGGCTGATAAATTCCCTGAACAAGTCTATGATGAACACTGAGGCAGCACAGTGGGTATTTATCTCTCCATGAAAGCGCCTTTTACTTAGCCTGCACAGAGCCTTCCAGATGTCTGACTGGGACCTTGCTTATGGATGTGTGGGTTTTTTTTTTTTTTTTTTTTCTTTTCTCTTTTGTTTTTCTCAGATGGAGTCTCACTGTGTTGCCAGGCTGAAGTGCAGTGGTGCGATCTCAGCTCACTGCAACCTCTGCCTCCTGGATTCAAGTGATTCTCCTGCCTCAGCCTCCCGAGTAGTGGGACTACAGGCGCGTGCCACCAAGCCCAGCTAATTTTTTTTTTTGCTATTTTTAGTAGAGACGAGGTTTCACCGTGTTAGCCAGGATGGTCTCCATCTCCTGACCTCATGATCTGCCCGCCTCGGCCTCCCAAAGTGCTGGGATTACAGGTGTAAACCACCGTGCCGGGCCAGATGTGTGAACTTTTAATCTCTGGCTGATCTTAACCCACTTCGACCTAAGCTTGGGATGATTACTCTTGACCCTTATTTTGAGTGATTAGCAAATCTCCCCACAACCCAGGTGTGCGCAGAAGAGAGGTAGAATGGTGCTAGTTTCTTATTTTATTTTTATGGTAACTGTACAGCACTTTAAAGTTATATACTCTATGTTTAAATATACCCCTTAAAAAGCCTGAGCTATATAACAATCTGGATGTGACTGTGTTACCCTTTTCCCACAAGATAGGAGGGAATCCCCTTTGTAAAACTACGAATCCAAATAAATGTTTACAAAGTGGCTCTTGTGGTAATTGGTAAGTAAACGATTATCAATTTTATTTTTGAAAATGCAACTGTAATAGTATATGTTGTCATTGCCCTGAGTCTGATCTGAGCCAGAGTCTAGTTTGACCTGTCTTCTACCCAAGGCATTATCCTTTGTTGTTGATATGGTACCTAAGAGGCTTAAACAATCTCTAGGGGACAAACTTGCAGGTTATAAGATAGAACTGCTTTTTTTCTTTAACTTAAATTTTAGTTTTTTGAGACATGGTCTCGCTGTGTTGCCCAGGCTGGAGTGCAGTGGCATGAACATAGTTCACTGCAGCCTGGACCTCCTGGGCACAAGTGATTTTCCCACCTCAGCCTCCTGAGTAGCTGAGACTACAGGCACATGCCACCATGCCCAGCTAATTTTTAAAATATTTTGTAGAGATGAGGTCTTGCTTTGTTGCCCAGGCTGATCTTGGACTCCCAAAGTGCTGTGATTAGAGGTGTGAGCCACTGTGCCTGGCCTAATTTAAATGTTAAATTCTACTTTTGTGTTCTATGTCATCTCTCCGGTCATTTTCCTGGAAGACCTGCTTTTTTAAGAATGTATGGGGCTTAGTGCGGTGGCTCATGTCTGTAATCTCAATGCTCTGGGAGGCTGAGGTGGGAGGTTTGCTTGAGACCAGGAGTTCAAGACCAGCCTGGGCAACATACAAGACCCCATCTCTACAAAAAAATTAAAACGTTTCCTGGGTGTGGTGGTGCATTACCTGTAGTCCCAGCTACTCAGGAGGTTAAGGTGGGAAGCTCGCTTGAGCCCAGGAGTTTCAAGGCTGCAGTTAGCTAATGATCCCACCATTGCACTCTGGCCTGGACATTACAGAGCTAGATACTGTTTCTAAAAAAAGAAAAAGAGTATAGGGCAAAATCTCTACAGAAAGGGGGAAGAAAACCCCTAGAAGGGCAGGACCTTATAAGGAAAGAGGAGAAGCCAGTAGCCTGTTTAAGTTCATACACTTTAAAATGAACAATAATCCTATCCCCTGAAGGATACTGGGTAATCACAACTCAAGAGATGGACACAGCAAATGCATTCTCTCTCCAAGTCCTTCCTTTAATGTCAGGTAGTGCTTCAACTCAAACACACACAGTATACATACCATAGAGAAAGGGACCTGAGGGCATCTGAGTCATGCATGGTGTGGTAGGTACAAACCCTGGCCCAACCCAAAGGAGCAGTCAAGGGCCTGGAAGAAAGATGGTATGCTCTTCCCCCCTCCTCCTTTCTCTTTCCTACCGGGCTTAAAGTCCGTGAAAGAGAAAGTTTTTAATCAGTGGAACTGATAAGGCCTCAGGGCCATGGAGGGTAGATTTGGTTGTTCAGTAATATAAAATGTGTTTAAGAAAAAAAACAGCCCAGGCTTCCCAGCAGTAGCCCATGTGTTGGCTGGTTCAGCAGCCTGACCTCTACATCTAGACAAGGAAGTGAGGAGGGTGATTGCTGGGCATTGGTATAGGTTTATGATGGAGCAGCATAAGATTTTCCATGCCCTGTGAACATGTATACAAACATTTATAGCCCCTTCCCCTCAGCCCTGCTCTGCTGCAAGGAAGCTGCTGAGAGTGAGTGACAGCTGGGCACAAAGTGTCTTGTGATACCAGTTATAGGGTCTAATGCAGTGAAGTCAGTCAGTCATTTCGGACCTGTTTTCACACAGGGGCAAGGAAAAACCAGAAACAACTTCTCTCTTACCCTTTAAACTGAGATACTTCATTCTACATGATTACCTGAAACAAATGTCTCAGGTCAAATCACAAGCCTTAGCTTCTGCTAGGGTTTGAAGTCTGGGAAACATATAATCCAGCTCTTCTCTTTCAGTCCAAGCTCTAGCTTGTCAGCAACACTGTTGCAGAAGATTTCTCCTTTAGAGGCAGAAACATCTGTGGTGAGGAAGGCAGCTATTGAAGGTATTCCAGGAGCATGAGACTGAGTTTGCAGAGCTGAGGGTTGTCAGTTTCCTTTTCTACTGATATCTTCTTCCTTTAGAGCAAACTTCCTTCGTAGGACCTCAGAGATAAGCACAGCAGGGTCTTCCTCCTTCAATGAACTCCGGTTCCTAGAGACACAATAATAGCTTGAGTACTTACTCTTTCCTGGGTAGTGTTGTATATATTTGAATATATTATCTCATGGAATCCTCACAACAATCTTACTAGGTAGGTGCTATTACAATTCCCTTTCACAGATAAGGAAATTGAAGCACAGAAAGGTTATACAAGTTGCCCAAGGTCACTAGTCACTCAGCAAGTAAGCGGTGAATCCAGAGTTCAAAACCAAACTAGCTGGTTCCAGATCTCTTCTCTTAACTAGAATGCTTTACTATTTCCTGAAATAGCTATGAAGTGTGGGCAAAGTAAAGGACCATCAATCGGTTAGAGTTGCCCTCTGGTGGCCAAGCTTCTGCTTCTGCCTTCTGGCCCTATGTTTTCTTAGTAGCATTTCCCCAGAGGGTCAGCAGGGGAAATGACTGATGACTCTTGGCTATTCTAACCCTTAATAGTTCTGGGGAAAAGGTGTGCTTGGGATTTCCTACTTCCCGGTCTCCCCTTCAGGGTAGATGATTTTTTATGAGAGCCAGAATTAGAGCAAAACATTCACACAAGAAACGCATGGGAACAAAACCAACTCCAGACTGAAGTAGGCCCAAATTATCTGATACATTATATAAGAGGGTCCTAGATACCCAGAAAATAGTTGCTTGAAATCCTAGTGAACTTATCTACATTCATCCTCAAGAAGGTATTTTACTGGGGAGTAAGCTAAATATAAGAGCCAAGACTGATTATTCAACCTTCAAAGCAACAACAAGAGGGACTGCGTTTGGTTGGTGACATATCTGAACCTTTGCTGACTGGGGTACTTTCCCAGTCTTATTCACTGACCCAGCTTCTTCTGATCCGAAGACACAAGTGGGAGGAGGGGGCTGGCAATAAGGGTCTTGAATCTAATTTGGTCCAAAAGGCAAGTAAGAGAAAGTTTGAGTCAACCTAAAAAACATTGTGTTCAGAAGAAAACAGCTCAGAGAAGACCAAAAGCAGCAGCAACTGAATTTGGGAACGTGGAAGACCAAAGAGATATGGGTGAGTATGACCAACCTGACTAGGGCCAGTGAAGGAAGGTTAAGAGTGACTTCCCTAAATGGGTCAACTGCCAGGAAGCAATGAGGGAGTCACCTAGCCTGGTCTACTTTTCAGAGGGAAATGGATCCCAGGAGACAAAAAGGGATCCAGGGCAAGTAACTTTCCCTTTAACAGGAACTTAACATCAACTCAGGAGACCTCACTTCCCTGTCCCCAAAACAGTTTTTCATCTGCATTAACAAACAGCTGCACAAGCTGGGCGCTGGCCATCAAAGTCTGGCTCTCAAATGCCCAGGAACCTACATTCAAACCAAGCTCCTCTGGTGAGTCCTGTGCAGCTGTTGAAATCACAGCCCACAACTGGAGAAACACTATGCAATGGGGTGACTTCATGAGGCCTCTTTGCCAGATAAAGTTTTTCAAGGTAGGTATTCCCCAAAGTCCCTCATACTCTATCGGAAAAACCTAGAGCTCCACTCCTTGGGGTTCTACTTTATTAAGTTAAAGGTGTATTTTTAACAAATCCGAGCAATTCTGATGGGCAGCTAGGTTTCGGAACTACTGGCGAGTCTCAAAAGCCTTGTTCTCAAATCACTGAATATGCAGGGTTGGTTTGCACAATGGACCACTGTATTTTAAAGTAGAAATCTCCAACTTTATGAAATTCTCCTCCCACCAAAAAAGCCTACCAATTTGAGATAAGAAAACATAACAAAACATAATGTCATGCAACCTCTCACTTTGAAGGGTGGGGCATGAAGACACTGTCACTAGCAGTATGAGAACTGGAGTGATAAAGCCACCTGAGGACAGAAGTTGGATTAGATGAGCTGCCTTATAAAAGTCCCTACGAGCCTCATATTTGGTTGGGGTGACCTAACCCAATAAATGTAAAGTGTTGCTCTTTCCTCAAATTGGGGCCCCACGCACTGGCAAGCAGGTAGTCAGCAAGCTTTATGAATGACATAACATATGGTACTACTAAAAACTTACTATGTTGCATTAGATCACTGGCCATGGGCAACTCAGAGTAAATAGATACTAGAGCTCCTCATCAGATACTTACAGATCTTGGCTCTGTTTCATTCGGTGAAAGTCCTTCAGGATACCCATCATATCTGCAAAGCTGCTGGCCTTGGACAAAGAGATGCAGTCATCCTCTTCAGACGAACTGCAGGTAGCTTTGTGTTCTGGTTTGCAACATTCAGGGCTGGCAGAACAAAGCAGGGGGACTGATGGAAGCTCAGGGACCTCCACCTCTGTCTCCTCGGTGATGTCACTAATGACAAAGGAAGTTGTAGAGTGGAATGAGGATCCAAAACAAGGTAAGGGAGAAGAGACATTTGAACTTCCTGGAGATAAGAAATCTGGCGTTAATGAAGCCGAAGCTGAAAGAGAAAACAATAGGCATGGATGGACATTGGGGCTAGAACACAGTAGGAATATCTTCTCCCCACAGCCCTGCCTACTGAACATTCATTTCCTGGGCTGACACCATGACAGTCTGGGAGAGCCAGGATGGTATCTGTAGCCACTGGAGGGTCATTCTACTATGCTTCTCACTCGGGCTCAGAAAGCTGTAGAAGCACTGGGCTTTTCCAGTGTTCCCGGAGGGCAGGAAAACCCAGCCCATAAAGGTCTTGGCATTTAAAACTCCCATTCCACAATAGGCTGTGGAGTGATAGCCCTGTCATAGGCCAAAGAAGCAGTGACAGCTAAGGCCTGAATTTGTCCTTTTCTCTAACTAGGCTAGTGCTTTTGACTATGCTCCTTTGAATCTTGCTATCTGTGAACTAAAAGACATGTTCCGAGCAAAATGAGAATGGTGACAGACCTCCCAACCTTCCCAAATTTCAGTGGAGAGAATTTCCTTAATTTCTACATTTCTA